TGACAGCCATTCCCAGATACATGCGGGTTAGGATTTACTGATAGGAAGACTTCCTATATGTCTAGTCTGGAGTGGGAGAGATGGCTTAAGGGGCAATTTATTCTGCCTCTCCTCCACACCCCACCTCTAAGCAATCAGCCCAGAGGAAGAAGTAGTTCTCTAGCTAGGTTTTAGATCAAGTCATCAAGTCTGTAGACTATAGCACATGGTCAATCCCACTTACAGACTGCCTGGATAGCCAAAGAACCAAAAATATTTTCATTATTGTTTTTATATGTGTGGGTGCTTTGCCTAAATGTGTGTGTACCACATGTGTGCAGTACCAGTGAAGACCACTAGGCAGCACTGGAACCCTTGGGAGTAGAGTTACAGACAACTGTGATCTGCTAGGTGGGTACTGGGACTAGAATGTGGGATTTCTGGGAGAGTGGCAAGTACTCTTAACTACTGAGAATTTGTATTTTTCAACAGTTAAAAAATGATTTTGTCATCTTTGAACATGTCTGGATACCATGCACTTTGTCAGTGGTTGAGGTATGGACAATTCCTGGCCCAAAGGCTAATTGTACCAACAAGAAAACAAACTCCAAGTGGAGTGTCTTCATTGCTCGGCATTTTCTCGGGAATAGATCGGTGCTGTCAGGAGCAATTGTGGCTCACATCAACAGAACCCTAAGTTATTTAAATGCCATGTTCTACAGATCCTTGAAGTAGCTGAAGATTATCTATCTATGTAGAATACAATCTCTATGTATCTAAAGAACCTAATTAATCTGACTATATATATAACAAGCATGAGTGACTATTGGCCTATAATACTTAATACCTGTATAACTTAAAGACTAAGACTTTATATCAAAATATTAAGCAATCTTTAAACAGCTGTTCAGTAAAGGAGGACAATGACCTCAAAAGGTAAACAATGTATAAGTATCTTGATCAGAGGTAGAAATGTATATTGCAATATGATAAATATATCCTAAAAATTGTATCAATATACAAAATGTCTTAAAAAGAGGTAGAAACATGCATGTATACAACCTGACAAAATAATTTTGTATAGGTGTATAAATATTGTAAACAAAAATAACAAATATAATTTGAACTTGTATCAATATACAAGAAGCTATACCAATGTAAATCATCCATAAATAATATCTCACAAGTATTTATTATTCACTATTATTATTATTAGTGTGAGTAAGCTCACACTAAATTATGAACTCCAAATTCTCATGTAACAAACTGAGATCCAGATCGCCTAGTTGGATCCCAAGCTGTAATGGTTCTTTCTGCTCACAGATGCCAAAATGTTTGAAATGCAAAAAGTGTTGAAATCTGGACATTGAAAGAATTCTGGATACTTAGTTTCTTCAGATTTTTGGAATAATGTTTTCACTTTTATTCATGTTTTCATGTTTATTCTCATGTTTATTCTCATTAAATGAAAGCCACTGTCCTCTTCAGGAGGAAGCTAGGAACTGACTAAAATAAAAAGTGTAGAGTGGAAAAATTGCCTTTGAATAGCCTGTGTCAGCAGAGTGCCTGGAACTTGGAACTGATCCTTAGAGCAAATCATTCTTAATGGTTTCCTCCCTGGAAGTTGCATGATTTTGATAAGGATGAGTCAGGAGCCTCCAAACACTAACTCATCTGTGATTCAATCATGGGGGATATTTCAGCTTTGCTCATTTGAGTGCTTAGTTAGGGTTTCAATTTCCGTGAAGAGACACCATGACCACAGCAACTTTTATAAAGGAAAAATTCAATTGGGGGGCCTACAGTTTCTGAGATATAAACCATGATTGTCATGGTGCACCATGGTGACCTGCTGGTAGGCAGTGCTGGAGAAGGAACTGAGGGTTTTACATCCTGGTCTGCAGGCAACAGGAAGTGAACTGCAACACTGGAAGTAGCTTGCACATAGGAGACCTCAAAGCCCACCCACACAGTGACACACTTCCTCCAACAAGGCCATACCTGCTAATAGTGCCACTACCTTTGGGGGGCCATTTTCTTTCAAACCACCACAAATACTTAAAGGATATTTTAAAGGAAAAACTTATTTTGCTTAGGTGGCAGCAGTAATAAAGGGAAAAAAGGATTTCCCCATGCTATTTTTAAAACCAATCCGTGGCTACTCATTTCTTGTTGCACGAACTAGTCCCATCATGTCAGGGGTCATATACCATCTTTCCATTAAAATAGATTTAAAATTGAAAAGTAAAAACAAAATGTCACACTGGTCAAACTCTGTGCCCTCCGGGAAACCTGCAAAGAGGAAACACAGTAAATTTGACTAATGTTTTGAGCCACTGAAGTGAAATAGTAGAATACTGAGCAACACTGAAGCATCTTACTTTTTTTTTTTTAATTTCCAAGTGTCTCTTGAGTTTCCCTGCTGTTTACTTAAAGTCTTGGTCTAGCTAGCAGGCAATCTGGATTTGTCTTGCCTTAATTTCCAGCCCCATGACTCCGAACTTGTCAGTTTCTTCATATGTACATTAGGGATAAATGTGGTACCTCTGCCCCCACGGAAAAGCTGATAGCCTCATATTCTACAGAAATTTCATGTGTGTTGAAATAAGAATATGGAAAGCACTTGATACATATGCAGAAGCAATGTGGTCACTACTCATCAAATGTTTGTAAGAGCGATCATCTGTGTGATTTGCTGATCAATGGCAGCTGAAGTTGGAATCTGGGGTGACAGTTCTAGGATCCAGTTCTTAAAAATGTTTTCTTTTGCATTTATTATTTATTTATTTTAAAGATTTTACTTATTTTTCTTTTTAATTTTCTTTCCCCCTTTTCTTTCTTTCTTTCTTTCTTTCTTTCTTTCTTTCTTTCTTTCTTTCTGTCTGTCTGTCTGTCTGTCTGTCTGTCTGTCTGTCCTGGAACTCATTTTGTAGATCAGGCTGGTCTAGAACTAACAGACATTCATCTGCCTCTGCCTCATGAGTGTTGGGACTAAAGGCATGAGCTAATACACCTTGCTTAAAGATTTATTTCTAATTGTGTGTGTGTTGCATGTGGGTAGGTGTGCATAAATATATGGCTTGTGGAGGTTAGAGGAATTGGGTTCCCTGGAGCTGGAGTTGCAGAAAGTTGTCAGCCACTTGACATGGATACTAGGAAATGAACTCTGGTTCTCTGCTTAACTGTTGAGCTATCTCTCCAGCCCATTTATCCATCTATCTATCTATCTATCTATCTATCTATCTATCTATCTATCTATCTATCTATC